CGGATGGGACGCATTGCCAAGTCTTTGTAAACCTCCAAGCTATTTGATAAGAATCGCTAAATAAATCAAGATTTCTTCTCGCGCCAGACGCTCTAAGCATTTCAAAGCGCGTGCACACACACACACACACACATCTTTCGTCTCGGAAGTTAAATAATAATAACAATGATAATGATGGTGATGATGATGAACAAGAATAACAATGGTGATGATCGCGATGTCGATGACGACGACTGTGATGATAATATCGCCAACTGATATGTAGTTATCGCGGCAAACATGCGGCGTAAGTTGTATAAATAAATCTGACCCATTTATGATCGTCAGTGAGAAAGTTGAAAATGCGGTTACAACTGTTTAGTACAATGAGAAAGTGCGTATACATTGAATAAGTAGTTGCGGTCGGAGTTAAGTTAGACGGATCGGATTTCAATGATAATGTAACTCTGATCGAACTCGTTGATGTAATTTATTGGCTTAGAAAGTACGTATCATCGAGAGCGAATTATTATTAAATGCATTATGGTGATATTGTAATATGGAGAAGGATGAAAATTTCAAAACCTTTTAACTGTTCGAAAATTTCGTTTAATAAGCCTTTCGCTGTTTCCCGTAAGACTCATCATCAACATTTCAACATTTTAATATTAATTATATTAAGCATTTTATTAATTAAAGAACTACTGACCAATAAGAGAGGAAATTGTATCTTAAAATAGATAGAAATTTTATCACGTTATAATACGATCGAACAATTGTAATTTCAGGCTATTCCTTTTGTTTTGCCGTTTAACCAAGACAATGAACTAACGTATTATTACGTAAAATAATATGGCCGTAATAAAGCAATAACAAACAAACGCAAGAAAAGTTTTTATAATTTTCAAAAATGATTATCAGAAATTAAGGAAAGAATCTGAAACGATAATATTATCAATTAAAAAAATATACACACACAAATATATATATATATATATATATATATATATGTTTATATATCAAAACCATCAAATGTTTAATATAGAAACGCCTGTGTAGACAAAACTTTTTTCCATTAACATTATAAAAATGTTAATTACAAACGACGTGACACGACAACTCTGGCAAGTAAATATTAAATAGTTAATATATTAAAATTATACGGGGAATATACTATGCAAATATAATTAAAATATTAACAGCTTTATTTTGTGGATACTCGAATAATTATATTTTCGCAAATATTATTTTAATATTTAGATTCATTTGCATGAACCAAAATGACTCTTCACTTCTTCAAGAATGTCACTCTCATATCTTCTCTTACACTAAGTCACGTATTTTATTTTATTGGATTGCATGAAATTTGTAGAAAAGTACATAAAAATATTTAATGCTGACAAATATGTGTACCTGAGACAATCTGATTCTGAATATATGAATATTTATTCATTTCTTTCCGTTAATTTACATTTGCATTTAATTATTTTCACCGATCTTCGTTAACAGCTAAAATTTAATTATCAATTTTATTAATTTGTCACTATTTACCTGCTTTCATTAGTACTGTTAAATTATAGTTTATAAATTAATAGACTAACCCTTAAGCAATAAAATCAAATGTCGGTGGCATTTTATACTCTCATTTTTAAATAATATACTAAATTGTAAATTATAGTTGTAAATTAAAATTTCCTACACTACAAACGAATTTTAATTTATATAATAAATATATTTTGTATAAATAAATAAATATATAATAAATAAATTTATATAATAATATATTTTTTTATATATATTGAATGCGACAATAAAGGAGTACATAATGCAGTGTAATTATATACATCTGCGTAAAGCGGGTTGCCGGGTTTACGGAGCTTACTTAGTTATATGTTTATGCAAAAGAATTTATTAATACAAATAATACAATTCTCGTAAATCGTCTATTTTATTAATAATTTATACACAATCTTAATAAATAAATATATTTGTTCATTTCTTTCTTTTATTAGCGCGTATGCGTGCACGCGTGTGTGTACTGTAATAAATTTGTATTGTAAATTCGGTGTAATTTGTCTTCAATCATGAATTTTCAAATCCAAAAAGTTGAACGATGAGGTTTCTATAATACTTTTAATATCTTTATAATCATTAACTGCATCGTTAATCATTTTCAAGCTTCGGACTTTAAATTCGACGTTCAATCAATTATATTTGATTTATAATATTATAAATGACCTAATTATTCTGTGATCACTATATGATTTTATAATTCATCAATTACTAAACTACGATAGTACAGAAATTAACATAAATAAAAATAATAGACGATTTTTAATAAACTGATATTTACTACGATCCTAGGATACAATTATTTGCATTTATTTGTATTGTATTGTATTTTACAAAAAAAATATAAAATTTTACAATTGTAATTTTATTTTATCTTTTGTAAATATTTTAAAACAAATTCATTTTTATGAAACTAAATAACATTGAAATACCATATCTAATGATTTTTACAAATTAATCTAAGATAAATTATGTTATTTATTAATTTTTTCTTTCGCATGGGCAGGAGGAAAGCTTTTTACAAAATCAGTGTAAGCATTTCGAATAAGCTGTAGTTAATATTTTATATAATATGTTTTTAAGCTTCTAAAATACAATTCACGCCTTATTTATTTATTATAATTGAGGTAAATTTCATTAATTCGACTCAATTTGTACATCTAATGTATGTAAAGAAATTTTAAATAATATCTTTTAAACAATATGACAGGCAGAATATTATGAATTTCGTAGACTATTGGGAGCATTTTGCACACCAATGTTTATGAGACATTTATAACTACTCCGATATTATATAACATAACAATGATAAGATTATAAATTAATGTTGCTGTTATGATTGTAAGGAGAAAAGTTTTATGAAATAAATTCTCCAAATTCATATTAATATGAGAAGTAAGTTTAAGTAAAGTAAAATTAATAGTTATAGACTAAATTATTTTTTATTATAATTGGTGATGTCCCCGTGCTTATTTACTTTATAATAAATCTTATTGGCAATTCTTTTTCATTGTAATGTTATATTGAATGTTTGAATGTTGAAATATTTTAACGGATTAACTCGTTGACAAACATACGAGTATTACGTAATTACTATAAATATAAGTATTTCGCTTACAATGAAATTGTACGAGAAGCATTTAGTACTCATTTTATACAATTAAAAATATGTAAGATGACAGAGATGGAGGTAAGGTATTTACCATACCACCGATTTTCTAAATCACTACAAAATTTCTTTACATCAATAAAATGCATTGATAATAAAGTTAGTATTATGTTGTTTTTATGATTTTGCAAATTTAATTCCTTTGTTGTTGTTTTTTTCATTCTTTTTCAGTTGTTTTATTGTTTTTAATTAAATTAATTTAAAATTTCAATTACAGTAGTTCACGTAGAGTCACGCATTATTTATGCAACATTTATGTTGATATTCGCATACTTTAGAAATCTTTCATCCTTCACTGCAAATTATTGAGTATTATCATTTAAAAATATTAAACTACCTCACAAACACGAAAGAACTTGTAGAAATCATTTACGCATTAAATCATCATTGCCAGCTTAGAGAATATTTTATAACCATAAACAGTGATAAGATTGCATTTAAAAGAAGCCTCCTCTCCTTCTATATCCCATTTTTTTCGACAAGCTATGTGCGTGTGCGTGTGCGTGTGCATGTTTATAGGCCGATTATTCATTTGAATTATTTCTACCTCGAGACCAAGCGCGACAAAACTTGACTACTAAGGCTAATTAAATAGTCTCTTCGAAATTGCATTTACAAAGGAGTCGCGGGGATACTGGACAGGACGCTGAAGGACAGCGTGGAGAAGAGCCGAGTCCAAGTGTCAATATGCAGTCATATTGGGGCTCGTATCGGTGGCATCGCTCTCACTACCACAGACGCGATAGCAATCACCTCTCACGCCAACAAGGCAACTGAAAAAACTTACGTTCACGAACAAACGGCACACGCGCACGCGACTATGACAATAGCGCAGAGCTCTTGAACTTGTCGCTCGTAACAACAAACTAAGCCCGAGTTTCTTTATTGCGACATTAGCCGAGGCAGGCAGCATCGACCGGGTGGGTAGGCAGCCGAGTAGGCGCTACTCGGCCTTGATAGCCGCAGTCCTCCCGGCCTCGACCCTGAGGAACCGAAGGGCCGAATCATCCCGCGGCTCCACCCTCGACCTCCCCGTGAACCCTGGACTTTGGTGAGCGGGTGGGGGTGGGGGTGGTGGGAAGTGAGCGGAGGTCGCCGTCCGTCAGCAGCTGCGACGGTCGTGCGTCCAGCTCCCGTTGCCTCGACATCGGCGGCGCTCGAATCGGCCGCTACCTGCGCGACTCCTCGACCGCCACTTGCCGCCTCAGTCGAACTTTGTTGGCGCCGGAGTGTGCGCGCACGCGTGGTGACACTGCCACAGTCACCGCCACTGACGACCACGACGACAGCGACGACGGCTACGACGGTTACGACGGCTACAACGGCTACGACGGCTACGACGGCTACGACGGCTACGACGGCGACGACAACGACGACGACGACGACGACGACGAC